TGAGTTGCAGGTACAGGCTGCAACTCTGGAGAGCTTTACCTGGAGCAGGTCATGAAAGAGTAAACATTTAAGAAATCCTTAGGATATCCCATCATGTCCTAAGACCCTCCACTCAAGATGCACACTCTGAAGAACTCCTTCACAATGTCTTCTGTTTCTCCTTCTCCTTTCTGAGTTACCAGCACAGCTGGAGCCTTGGCATCCCACAGTGGGATTAGCCTGGTTGTTTCCCCAAGAATGCTGCTTCAGATAGCCTCTCCCAGGGTCGGTGTCCTCCACTAACGCTAGACGAGTGGTCTTGCACATGCCTTTTACCCTACACTCTGGGGGAGTGCTATCTTATTTCATACAATTTAAAATTCAGTTTTTCATCTTTCTCAGAGTGAATGCATGCCGAGCTTTAGGAGTAAGAGAGTTTGGAAGCTTATAATGAAAACAAGCAGGAGCTCTCCCTGACCTCTCCTCACCCCGGAACCTCACTTCTCAGAGGCAACCGCTTTCAAGTGGTACCTATTTCTTTCCCGGCATTCATTGTCCAGTTTCTAAGTATCACATTTATACTGCGATTTCTTTATCTTTCATTTTAGATACGGCTTAAAGACTTCCTTACGGTGGAAGCTAAGGCTTTAGACTTTGACACCTCCTTCCTCTCCCCACACGCCTCCTTTCCCAGCCTGTCACGGCAGTCATGGCACAGTCGGGGCTAGTGCAAGTCTCAGCACTACCAATGGGAATCCAGCCCACACCGCGACTGCCCAGGGGTCTTACTATGCTTCTAGCTCCTTAGTAGTAGCCCTTTAAGTATAATGGGGTACATAAGTACATGTGTGCTGTCGTTGTGATTGTTAGGCGCCACCGCGTCGTCTCCAACCCATAGCGGCCCCATGCACAAGGGAACGAAACACTGCCCAGTCCCTGTAATTGTTCCTATACTGAGCCCGTTGTTGCAGCCACTGTGTCGCTCCATCTCGATGACAGCATTCCTCTTTTTCACTTGCAAATATACACACAACACACTTAGATGTATGTGTATGTGTAAAGATACAGTTGTGAAAAAAATCACACGACTCCTCTGGATACGATCAAACACAGCAGAAGTATTCATTGCCTTGCTCCTCCCCCTGAAAGATGCCATCTGAAGAGCCTTCTGCTATCCCTTTCCATGTGAATTATGTCTTGGACAACATTAGAAATGCTTCTATTGGGTTCAAACTTCCAATCTTGTCATTGAAGAATCTAATACCATTCAGATTTCAATCAAACTTGATGCTCTAGCGAGCTGCCATCCCAGGACTTCCCCTTACCAATATTCTGGGCATTCTCTTGGCATCTCTCCTCTGTTAACGCCTTACAGCCATGAATATCATGTAGTTCTCTTTCTTCAAATGCGTCCTATTTTTGACAACGTTCATTCTTTAGTTACTACTTGAAAGGGTGTATAACATATTACTACTATTTTTCACACTAATTGATATTTTGCTGGGTATAAAATTATAGGACCCTTGATGGTGCAGCAGTTAAGTGCTTGGCTACTCACCCAAAGGTCTGTGGTTTACACCCACCAGCCGCTCCACAGAAGAACGATGTGGCAGTCTGCTCCTGAGCAGATTACAGTCTTGAAAACCCCATGGGGCAATTCGACTCTGTCTTACACAGCTGCTTTGAGTCAGAATCAACTCAGTGGCAATGGGCTTAGTTTTTAATTACAGCTTGGAAAAAACTAGAAATTTTTCTATTGGTTTCTAACTTTCAATCTTGTCATTGAAAAATCTAATGCTTTTCAGATGCCTGATTTGTTGTTGGTAATGGTAAACTCTATCCCTTTCCCCAGTCTCTTGCTACTTTTAGCATATTCTCTTTACTTGACTGATCTGTCATTTCTTGGTGCTTTATCTCAGTGTTGGTCATTTTCCTTAATCGTGCAAAGAACTCAGTGATCATTTATACTATCAAATAATTAAATGTATTACTCCTTTTTTAACTCCATACCTACTTTATCTTATCTTGTCATTAAATTATATTTAATGTATGATTTTGAGATCATTTTTAGAAGTATGCATTGTGTTTTGTGTGCATGAGTTCTTCATTTATGTAAATGATATTAGATTGCACCATTTCTTTCTCTTTTTCTTTATGCTGAACCTTTGAATTTTAAAATGCTCAGTGTTGCTATGTGGACAAGTTACTTGTTATTTCTGATTGCTGTACAATCCTCCATGGTGTGCATCCGACAGTTTTCTTGTCTACTACGCCAGTTAAGAATGCTCATATTGCTTCCAACTTCTCATTGTCATAAAGACAACGCTGGACAAAATACCCTTGTCTCAATGAAGGCTTCCATCAGGGAATAGGAATCTTTGGTTCATGGATATTTTCTGTTTTTCTTCATTTCTTTCTCTCCAACTTTCTCTACTTTTTCTTAAACTCCTTTAGTTAAATGCTGATGATGTCATCAGCCATATATCATAATCATTTAGTAGAATATTTCATTTGTTATTTTATTTTTAAGGAGCCCTGTGGCACAGTGGCTAAACACGTAGCTGTTAACCAAGAGATCAGTGGTTTGCACTCACCAGCTGCCCCACAGGAGGAAAAGGTGGCAGTCTGCGTTCATACAGATTGACAGCCTTGGAAACCCTCGGGGTAGTTCTACTACGCCCTCTAAGGTTGCTATGAGTTGGAATCCACTTGGCTGGGATAGTTCTGGTATTTTTGGCTATTACATTTTTAGTTTTTTTTTAATGAACCATTTTACTGAGATATAATCTGTGTACTATACAATTCAATGCTTTAAGAGTTGCACAATCATCACCATAATCAATATAAAATCATGTCCTGCATTGCGTTTTTAATTTGCAAAGGTCTTTTAAACCTCTTCCCTTTTTTTCTTTTGCTCTCTTGTAGTAACAGTGATTATTTCACGCATGCTATTACTTCTATCTCTGTTGATTTAAACTATAGTTTGGCCTTCTTTTGCTTCTTTACTGCTCACATTCCTTCAAATTCTTCTTTTCTATTTATTGTTCTGTGTTTGGTGTCTTGTGTTGGATGTTTCCTTGGAAGCGGATAATGCCTAGCTGTGCGTTCCTATTTGAGACAAGATACAGAACGCTTACTGGACATTGTGTGTGGGGCCAGAGCTGCAGAATGGAGAGAAGCGATGGGGTAAGGAGGCGTCTGTTTCTCTGGAAAACCCCCCAATATCAGTATATTCTACTCACTGCCTTTAAGTTGATTTTAACTCATAATGTTTTCTGACTCATAATGATCCTATAGGACAGATTGGAACTTTCCCATAGGGTTTCCAAGGGAGTAATCTTTGTGGAAACGATCCACCACATATTTCTCCTTTGGAGTAGCTAGTGGGTTCGAACGTCAGACCTTCTGCCCAGCAGTTGAGCAATATAACCACTGTGCCACCAGGGATTCCACATATCAGTATGAATGTTACATCTTTTCTCTTAGGACAGAAAGTTTCCCAAGAGAGGAATCTCCTAAGCCTCTGCTAAATTGCTATATTTCTGAGAGCCAAGCAATAGAAAGGGGCTAGGAGTATTGACATTCAAATTGCAGACATTTCTTTAGACTTCTTGCTTTCAGTACAATATACCATCCCACCCTCAGATGTACCTCCTGCCACAATTCCAAATTTCTCCAGTTCAGTCTCTTCAGAGGGTCAGTCTCATGATTGTGCTGGGATGGGGATTTGAGCAGACACCTGTGCCAGCGGTAGGAGGCATCTAAACGTTCCTTACAGCACCTTCAACCAATCCTTCTGTTCTTCGCACCATGCATACTCCATATTTCAGAGGTTCCTGGGGTCTCTTAGATTCTGATCCTCTCTAGGGCTCCGTGGGGCAGTTCGTATTTTATTGGCATTCCCTACGAGAAGCAACTAAATCTTGTCATTCCTGCCACCGCACCAGTTTCCATTTATTCTCTATCTCCAAATATTTTGCTGAAGTCTCTCATCTGTTCTTATTTATCCTCTCCTGTTTTCTTTGTCTTGTGCCCTTTTAAAAATGTATCTCTTGTTTGGGTGGCATTTTAAGCGATGACCTCGCGGTCCAATCTGCCTTGTTTAACCAGAAGCACCACCTTATAAATTTCCATTGGAAGGGGTCAGGTTGGTGCTCTCTCACAAGAATTAAGGTCAGTTTTGCTTAGAGAAATCGACGGCCCTCTCACATCTGTCTCCATCTCAGTCCTTCTGTCCTGTGCCTTTCATTTCCCTTCTTGTTAAGTGAGCTTGCATTACACCCTCTTCATGTTCTGAATTTCTGAATGTTTGCTGGTGTTGTCCCCCTGCCTAAAATGTTCATTCCTATGACATGTTTTATAACCCAAACACAATCTCAGCCTTCATGAAGTCACCTGATGACTTCAGATGACATGGATTTGTCCCTCCTTAAAAACAAATTACACGTATCTTACACGAGTCCTTAATAGAACCCCCACTCCTTGTTTCAAGTGTCTGTGTTCTCCTCTTAGCAAAATAAACGTTTCTTCTGGGCAGGAGCCATGCTTACCCTGGCTTTGGACATTGAGTGTTTGCTAATTCAAACAAACGAATTCATACCAAAATGAGGGGCTTTGACAACCAATACACAGAACATGAACAGATTTTCAAGGTAAAACCTATGCCTTACTCAACTCTATACCCCTACCAGCTCACCCAGCGTTCGACAGAGGAGGTCTGTGACTGCGGAAGGGCTGAGGGGAAGAATGGGTGAATGAATGCATTCTCACTGAGTACCAGGGTCAGTGTTGTAACATATCGAAAGGTTTTTTTTGTTAAAATGCTTACATTATAAATCCCTAAAATGAAGATGATGATCAGAACGGCTGTTCCCTGCTGCTTTCTCAGCATCTATAGCCGGGATTGTCACACAGGAGCTGCTCAGCAAATACCGCCCGAGTGAAAGCTGAATGAATGAGTCTGGAGACACTGATTTACAGTTTGCAAAGACGTTACAAGGAGAGGGAAACATCTGGCTTACCCTGAAAGCACTCCCAGGACTAGGTTAAGAACAAAGAAGGATCCAATGATGATGAGGGGTATGAAGTACAGCCAATTCCAGGTGGCTCCTAAGGCATCATTGGTCTGAAAGACAGAAAAACGGTTCCTTCATGTTAAACCAAAACCACCTGCCAGAAGAAGGCCCAGAGCCCCACAGTTTCACACCGGGAGTGCCGAGACAAGCACAGTGCGGTGCCGTTACACTGCCTGTTCCCATGCCGACTTTCCTGTGAGTAAACATTCCATGTACACAGCTGAAGAGTGTCGCATCAGCCTCACTGCAACACCCACCATTGGAATATTCTAGAACCCTCACTTAGTAGCTGGGAAAGGGGAGCTAAAAAATGCAATGCATGTCCTTGTTCAAAATCATACAGATGATCAGTGGTTTACAGTGTTTGGTAACCTTTGCATTCTGACGTAGACAGAAAACAGATTCTGAAAGGGACAAA